AAACGGCCAAGCCCCTCAATTACCAAAATTCTTCCTTTTTTGAGTGATAAAAGGTTATAATTTAATAGCCATGGTTGCAATAGTTTGGTCATAATATCTGGCCTAGTCAAGAAGAATTGTTTTCCTTTTTTTTTTTGTTATCTTTTTTAATCAATGGCTTGTCTTTGGAAAAATTATGAAAGTTATTATAGTCATTGTCTATCATCAAGGGAAGTAAGTGTAATATTGAAAACCTTATGAAAGCTCAATGAAACTGTTAGAAACCTCAGGGAGGTTTCTGAAATTATCCCTTCTAAAAAACTACTTGCGTCTATTTGATCGTCTTGTGGGGTAGTTGAGAAAGTTTGAACGTTATTGCTGTTTTAGTATTCAGCATCGTCCATTTTTGACTAGTTTTGGCATCAATCTTCGAAGCCTCTTCAAAATGGTATAGCGGTTTCTACCATTTCTTTGGTATTAGACTGACACAATGGTACATGGTATTCTGACTCACATCAAGTCAATAGGAACCAAAGGACAATTGACAAGGCTGACTTCACCTTGAAAATGAAGCACAAAATAAGAGAGTAGAACTAAAAGATTACCTACCGGTAAGCTGATAAAGAGGTGGGCTGAGAATTGCATCACATGATAGGCAGGTCATGAATGTGAATGTTTAGTTATATATTAAAATGATAATATTTCAATAAAAAAAATTTGGTCTCCAAAATTTATAATTTTAAGCACATTTAGAACAATTGATGGAACTTAACATTGATTAACAGTCAAAATCATTTTAGCAATAAAATCCTATTTCAATTTTTCCTATACTATAGCCTCTTAATTTTTGTTCTGTATATCATATGTGTATTATTATTCAATTTTAACTTAGTTAACGAAGATATACTTTTTAGCTTAAATGATAACGTTGTGCCTATATTATTCTATATAGAGTACATAGTGGTTAACGACACTATGTTATCTAATTTGAATTATTTATCTATAGAACCAAAAAAGTAAAACAATCAAAATATATTTCATAAAAAAAAAACTATAGTAGGTCAACTACATATAACCAAGAGACATTTAAATTACTTTGAACTCGTGCTAAATTGCTCCTGTAGTGGGGGCACAATTTATTTATTTTTCTCTGTTTTATGTCTATTAAATCCAAAGTTTCAATGGAAAGTTTTAAAATAGTTACTTTGCTCTTTGTTTACTTTAATATTTTACCACAACCCTCCCCCCGATTACCTTAAGAATTTTATTGAATGATTCAAACAATTATACAAAATATTAATTTCATCTTAAATTCAATTGATAGTCTATTAAAATTGAAAACAAGAAAACAAATCTGATTTGCTTATAGTTCATATTCTTTATAGTTTGAATGGATATCTAATTGAGCGTTTAAATATCAATACAAGTAACAAAAAAAAAAAGAATTCATTATCAATTAATTCTCCATAATGCAAAAGCATGCATACATATATAATGCTACATTTGGGACCAGTCATGCAACAGTAAAAGTCTATGAGAAACAAGTAGGATGAATACACAAAATAAAAGAATAAAAGAAAGAAGTTTCCTGAACCTTTGCACATTTTCAACATAATTTCAATCTAATTTGCATTTCTTTTCCTTTGAAACCGTTAATATCACTATTTAAAATCTAAGATACCATGATGATCCAAATTTGAAACATTGCTATAAAAAATGCAAAGTCAAAACTATTCAGTAGTGGCAACTTGACTTTGATCTTTAATCATCATTTTTTTCGTCAATTTACTAAATATGCTTAAGATTTGAAACACTGGGACCAAATTTATTTTGATCCAAGCATTAATGATCAGTCCTACACACATGCAGAGTATTATAAACAAGAATCGTATTTCTTCCAAATTTTGGATATATGTTATGTATTGATTTAAATTACAACTTTTAAACTTATCTTCTTCATAATGGTTGGTTAGTGATAATTTAGTTTTAATATTATTGTGATATCATTTTCTAATAAAGTGGAGGTGATTTGTCACTTAATCATAAATTTTTATCTCCTTTTGCCTAAAAATATGTTCAAGTTCGGGAGTACCAATAGTAAAAAGTTTTTATGTTATTTGAAAGAAAATTATTCATTCATTAGTAAATTCAAGCATGTCATCTTGTATTATATTATCCATGAAAATATATGGAATACTTTTAATGTGAAGATTGTTTGTTGTCCTACTTTTAGAATAGACAATAAGCAGTTATATTTTTGTATTTACACCTATTAAAAACATTTCTTAACTATATCACTACATAATTTAATTAATACGAATATTTGATTTCAAGCATGTATACATTAGTACAAATAGCATTAGTATTACTAGTGATAAAGGGCGCACTCAATCTATGTACAATTTAAACAATCACTTTTTATATGGAAGAAATTAGTATAAAATTTTAATAAACAAAAAACTTTGATCTTTTAAAAGTTTTTTTTAATATTATTTTAATGAACTTGGTAATTATAATGTTTGCGGTTGGTTATTGGCGAAAGTTAGTTGTGGTATTGGTTGACAATACATAAGCAACATGTTAATCAGATGATAAAAGTATAATTAAGCGATGGATTAATCTTTCTTATACTGACAGTATATACACTATCAACGTTTAGATGAATTACAAATATGCAAAATTTGAATTTAAAATTCAACTTTTACATATATGTCATAGATTCAATGGTGATAGTGTATACACTGTCACTGTATATAAGATTTGCTCGTAAGTGATTGCGATGATAATGCTGAAAATTTAAAAGTGACAAATATGGTCTAATTAAATTTCACCTATACGCACTGCAGTTATTATGTCATCAATTCATTCTCATTAATTTGGTCTAATACCATTACAAATGCATTTTTAAAACATTTCTTTATGTTCTACCGGCAAATATAAAAAACAATCATGCAACAACATATTACTTCTGCTACAAATATTCCATCTCAACTAATTAATTAACCATTCGTTTACTCCTTTACAATTATTAATTCCTATGATTGGTTTAATTAATTGCACATATTAATTTACGATCATTTTCCTCCTACCCATGATTGGTTTAAGGGTTACTCACATTTAATCCTCTTAAGATATATCCCATTCCTCAATTTATCCCAAAACTTTTAATTTTACTCATTTAACCCCCTACAGGACAAAATTGCCCTTGCATTATTTTGATTTTTTATTTACCTTGTTTTCCTTTATTTTATTTTGATCTGTACCCCTTATGAAAGTTAGTTGTGCTATTGGATGACAATACATAGACAATATGTTAATCAAATGATAAAAAGTATAATTAAGGTGATTATGATGATAATGTTGAAAATTTAAAAGTGACAAGTATGGTCTAATTAAATTTCACCTATTTGCACTCCGGTTATTATGTCATCAATTCATTCTCATTAATTTGGACTAATACCATTACAAATGCATTTTTTAAACATTTCTTTATGTTCTACCTGCAAATATAATAAAAGAATCATATTAATTACTTCTCATATAATAAAACAACATATTACTTATCCTACAAATATTCCATCTCAACCAATTAATTAACCATTCATTTACTCATTTACAATTATTAATTCCTATGATTGGTTTAATTAATTGTATATATTATTCCAAATTTCTTCCAAAATATTTAAATTATCTACTCTTTTGTCAATTTATGTAATTAAATGAATCAAAATTTATCTAATTCTGTACATACATATATTATTTATTTTTTCTTATTTCTTTCAGTTATGTATCCAACTTTGCATTTTCTTCATTATGTCTATTGTATATAAATTAGAAAACAATAATAATGTCTTGGGTCTTTTCACGTGGGTTAACGTGGGTGAACCCATGTGACTGACAAATTGTCTTGGGCCATTTCAATGTGGAACCCACCATCACAACACTCATTAAGTTCCGGTAGCCTTAACCCACACCAAAAACAACCTTGAATTTTGCTTTTCCTAACGTGTCTGGCTCCTGCCACATCCGTACCACATCAAACCACTCTACCAATGCATTGGCTATACCAATCCTTAGAATTTTCGCATCAATCTTTGGTACATGTGCTTGGCTGCATCAGAAAAAGCTTAAGTATTGCCTAAAATGTCATTTATATTGTCTTAGCTTTTGATACTTGGCTTCTCAGCTCGTAAACTAAATGGACAACTTTTTTTTTTAGGCAACAAAATGGACAACTTAGTCATACTGAACAAGACAAATATGTTTGGATCAAATAAATTGTTATATCCTGGCAATTTTACGATTAATTTCTCGCCAGATAAAAAAATGAGGAAGCATATTAAGCTTACACCAGAAAACACAAACAATGGAGAGAAATTAATTTCTGGTATGCGTATTTAATCTCTAGTATGTGACTTTTCCAACCAAACCAACCCAAACAAAGACAAGTTATAGGGATAAAGACAAGTTTTAAGTTTTAACAATGACAAGTCTCGTGCATAAATGCACACATCAAACACGTACCAAACACACAAACAGTGGCGTACAAATGATTCCTGTGGTACGATTTGTTTATTTGGTTAATTGCAATTTGCACTTCTAAACTAATGCGGGTAGCAGTTTGAACCATAAGTATCGATTGCAGCATTGAAGACCCTACACTATTGACTTATAGTACATTTTACCAATTCATTTATACTCAACAAACTTTTTATGGCTATTTTTGAATAAAAAGGCTTTAGTTCCAGTCAACGAAAAAGAGAATTTCACAACAAATGCAGATTTGAGCTGCTTATGTTCTTGTTTTAATAAATTGTAAGAAATTTTATTTATTCATAACTAACTAGAATAGTATGTCATGAGGCTGAGGAAATCTTGGTCTATTGACTATGGTTGAGACTGCAAGAATAAAAGTTTTGGATTCAAATTTTTCTTCTTCCTCTCCATTTCTTAAATTCCACCCTTTCTCTGTTTCGGAAAAAAAAAATGAATAGTGCAAGGTAATAAAGTACTAAATTCGATAGTTTAAGATGCTAAATGCAAATAGATCATAATTGAGGGGAACATATCGCAATTAATGCTATAACTTTTGAAATAAGAAGAGAATTATTGGAAAAAATATTTAATTATAGGAGGATAAAGTATAATTCATCCTTTTTTAATTTGATTCCTTCACCATCATTCTATTTAAGTCTCCAGAGGCAATGAGTAGCATTTCATTGCGTGACTGCAACGGGGTATAATCTCCTATTGGGTGACTGGTCTCCAGAGGAAGCTGACATATGTAAATATATCATTTATTAATGAAGAGCAATACCAGGGTAGTCATCAGGTATGTCCTGTCTAATGTAGAGATTGACCTTTACAGTAAGATGATCTCCTACTTGGCTGACCACCTCAAAGGTAGCATACCCTGTTGCATACCGGAATTGTTTGGTTCCCCCTAAAATTGCAAGTTCATTGACACCCATAGACTGTATGAAAATTCCTTTCATTTCCACAGTGCTACCACTGTACTTTCCATTAGTGAACAGAAAAGTTATCACAAGCTCTACGTTGGTGTTATCAAGGGATGCTACTGCAGCAATGCCTTGCGAACGGCCGACTAGCGCGGATTTGAACGAAACGCTTTGGGTCAAGGTATTATCAACGACAAAAACAGTTCCAAATTGGTTAAAGCCCCAGGTTGCGTTGGGAAGACCTGCAACTGGGAAAACGCTCTGGCCATCTCCACTTCGAAATTCATGGTCGTACACCGTCAAATTTGTGAACACTGTCTTTGATTGTCCCAAGCTTGCTAGTAAAAGCAGGCTCAGAATTTGGAGGGATGCTATGGCTAAACTCTTTGCCATTGTTTTGCTACAGAAACAAAGGAGGAGGAGAAAGAAGGAAACAAATTGGGGTGGTGTGAAGTATAAAGACGATGAGGAGGACTATTTATAGGACCACAGTTGAGGGGAACGCAACGATTTCCGTTTTCCAAAAAAATTCAAAAAAGTGAAAAACTTTGTTACGTAACCGCTTTTCAATTTCAATATTATTGTGTTAAATAGAGCTCCACGTGCCTAAAATTGTACGGAGAGTGTAAAGTCCAAAAATTAATATGTGCACGTGATACGAAGTTGACAGATGAAGGTCGGTTTTTTGTTTTTCTCGAAGGAAAGGAAGATGGGGTTATGGGACTCGGACCCATAGTTATTAAACCCGGCCCGGAAAGGAACCCGGCGAAAAAGGTGGGTGAACGGGTTACTGGTTCAACTAGTGGGTGAGTGGTTCAACCGGTGGGTCACGAAATATATTTAAATATTATGTTTCATAATTTTTTGATATGGTTAAAACTATAATAAATTATGTCATAGTAAATGCTTTATTAGTCTAATTTATTATAGAATCATTAATTCTTATAAGAATTAACAAAACCTAAATGCAATTAGTAATCCATCAAATTTCAAGAATAAAATTTTATCTAAGTATAATTATCTAGTTTATTTATGAATTTTAAATGCAAAGAATTATTAGGAACGATATTTGCCTTTAGAATGAATTATGTGATATGTTATTTTTTAAATTCATTTCATAATTTATAGAGTCTGGGGAGTAATAAAATTTATTAAAAGATTCCAAATAAATTATGTTTTGGAAAATTAAATAAGAATAAGTCTAATATATAATATAAAAAAAAAAGACTAAATGACAAACAAGTGAGTTGTTGGTGTAGCGGTTGTTGCATTTTCTTCAATACAAGAGGTCGTTGGTTTGAAGCTTCACTCCAGCATCTTCCAAACATTTTTAACATGCAAACCCGGTTTCCTATAAAATCGGACGGTTGACCGGTCGAACCGGAGGATCGGGCCGGGTTTAATAACTATGCTCGGACCGGCCAACAAATCGGAGAGGCGGCCGGTTCGCGGTCTGATCAGTCGGTTCATCGGTTTACTATTTTTTTTTTTGTAATTTTAGTGTTAAATACTTCACACTTCACAGGTCTTCATTCTACACTTGAACTTGATGGCTAATATACAATTTAACATGGTTATTAATAACTTAAGTTCCTAAAATGCATTTACCAATATAACTAAATTTAAGTTGACATAATAACAAATTTCTTAAAAGTTATACATAAAACCTGGAATGATAAACATCATTAAAATATCATAATTCACCACATGTTTTCATAAATTCATTACAAACATAAATAGATACAATCCAAATGTTTACCAATTATCACAAATAAAAACACAAAAATAAATAAAATAAATATTGAAATTCTTTTGCAATCCTTAAAAAAGTCCATAAAAGAGTCCAACTCATATTCAAGACAAACCATTTGAATAACAAACTTCCATCAGTGACATGATAAGCAACAACACCACTTTCATAATTTCATCAACTTAACCTGAAAATGTTAAAATTTTATTATAAAAATATAAATCTAATTGCTCAAACTCAAAAAAAAAAATTTTGAAAATTAGGGGGAACGGATGAAAATTGGGAAAATTAAGGGAAACAGATGAAAATAACATGCCTTATTGTAGAATGGACTTCACACGGATGCAAATTATTACCATTAGCATTTAAATAGCCAGACGACATACTCCCGAATTCGCATGATGACCAGTTTCATTTGTCGCCAGAAAGGTTCAAGAATATTTTAATTCCTGTTTGGATCTTCATTATTCCATGATCCTATATCATTAATTATTTTAAATTCAATGATCAATAGCTTCGATTATGTGCCAACTACCATATTATGAATAATCATTAAAATTTTTTAAAAGTCAAGAATACATTTTTATACTACAAAATTATGAGTTCTATTACTTAACCAATGTCCTGATATTTTCTATCCCATGATTTTCTACATCACCCAAATTTTCAAACTCTTATCACTTCTTTTTTTACGAACAAACTCTTCATTTTAGATGCTAAAATCCACCATCATAATTCTTACTTTCATTGTCTTTACCTCTCTATAGGTTTCTTTCATACATTGCCTACCAAATCGTCAGTTATAAAACTCACAATCCTTACCTTTTCCCTACTCAAACGGCCAAGCCTCCCAATTACCAAAATTCTTCCTTTTTTGAGTGATAAAAGGTTATAATTTAATGGTCATGGTTGCAACAGTTTGGTCATAATATTTGGCCTGGTCAAGAAGAATTGTTTTCCTTTTTTTGTTATCTTTTTTTATCAATGGCTTGTCGTTGGAAAAATTATGAAAGTTATTATAGTCAAGTGTAAAATTGAAAACCTTATGAAAGCTCAATGAAACTATTGGGAACCTCAGGGAGGTTTCTGAAATTATCCCTTCTAAAAAATTGCTTGCGTCTATTTGATCGTCTTGCTGGTAGTTGAGAAAGTTTGTACGTTATCGCTGTTTTAGTATTCAGCATCGTCCATTTTTGACTAGTTTTCGCATCAATCTTCAGTACATGTACTTGGTTGCATCAGAAAAAGCTTAAGTATTGCCTAAAATGTCATGTATATTGTCTTAGCTTTTGATACTTGGCTTCTCAGCTCGTAAACTAAATGGACAACCTTTTTTTTAGGCAACAAAATGGACAACTTAGTCATACTGAACAAGACAAATATGTGTGGATCAAATAAATTGTTATATCCTAGCAATTTTAGGATTAATTTCTCGCCAGATAAAAAAATGAGGAAGCATATTAAGCTTACACCAGGAAACACAAACAATGGAGAGAAATTAATTTCTGGTATGCGTATTTAATCTCTAGTATGTGACTTTTCTAACCAAACCAACCCAAACAAAGACCAAGTTATAGGGATAAAGACGAGTTTTAAGTTTTAACAATGGCAAGTCTCGTGCATAAATGCACACATCAAACACGGACCAAACACACAAACAGTGGCGTACAAATGATTCCTGTGGTACAATTTGTTTATTTGGTTAATTGCAATTTGCACTTCTAAACTAATGCTGGTAGCAGTTTGAAGTATCGATTGCAGCATTCAAGCCCTTACACTATTGATTTATAGTACATTTTACCAATTCATTTATACTCAACAAACTTTTTATGGCTATTTTTGAATAAAAAGGCTTTAGTTCCAGTCAATGAAAAAGAGAATTTCACGAACAAATGCAGATTTGAGCTGCTTATGTTCTTGTTTTAATAAATGGTAAGAAATTTTATTTATTCGTAACTAACTTGAATAGAGTGTCACGAGACTGAGGAAATCTTGGTCTATTGACTAAGGTTGAGACTGCAAGAATAAAAGTTTTGGATTCAAAATTTTCTTCTTCCTCTTTATTTCTTAAATTCCATCCTTTTTCTGTTTGGGAAAAAAAATGAATAGTGCAAGGTAATAAAGTACTAAATTCGATAGTTTAAGACGCTAAATGCAAATAGATAATTGAGGGGAACATATCGCAATTAATGCTATAACTTTTGAAATAAGAAGAGAATTATGTGAAAAGATATTTAATTATAGGAGGATAAAGTAAAATTCATCCTTTTTTTAATTTGATTCCTTCACCATCATCATTCCCATCCTTTTTTTATTTTGATCATCCTTTTTTTTCATTTTGATTCCTTCACCATCATCCTTCTCAATGATTAATGGACTTCTCCGGTTGCCTCTGGAGACATTGAAATGCTGTGTAACTTCTATGCAATCCGGGGAGGATTCTTGATGGCTACAGGCAACCACTCACGCAGAAAACAATTGCTGACTCAACAATTTCAATCTATTTAATTCGCACCCCCCAAATATCTAGCACTTTGGTACTATTTTAAATCTCTACTTCATACTTTCATAAAGTCTTAATGTCTCAAATTGACTACTCTTACAAAAGAATTAGACAAAACAAAATGTCTAACAAGAAATGCTTATGAGACATAGCATGATTAGAACAAAGTTCACTTGTATTGATGACTTTTATAACTTTTAAGAGAATCGTAGTTTTGGTCCCCATTTTTTAGCCCTTGTGCCAAATTGGTCTTGACTGCTTCAAGCAAAACAAATCTAATCCGAAACTTTTGTGACTTTAGGTAGATTTAAAACAACTAACCATGACTAACAGTCAAATATCAAATTATTATTAGTCAACAACTTTGACTTAGCACTTTTGACCCATAATATTTTGATTTTAAATCATTATATTTTTCTTAAATTTTAAATAGTGATATTGAGGGTTTTAGCATGAATTGAAATGCAAAACTAGAATAAAATAGTAGTATTAAATGGGTAATAAGAATGCTAGTTAAACTTTTCTTTTTCTTCTTTTTATTTTATTCAATCATATTTGCAGTATATCATATGTTTCTTTTCTTTTGCATGGTTAGTTTCAAACTTGGTATGATATGTGTATATTATTGTTCTTACTATTAATAATTAATTGACAATGATTTTTATTATTTTTATTTCTAATGGTAATTAGAAAGCTTAATTAAATATCCCTTAAAATGTAAGAAATATATACTATTTGTATGCTAAGTTGATATTTTTGTTTTGTTGTTTTGGTATTTTAATAGGTTATTAATTGAGTTTGAAATAAATTTGGCATTTTATACATATTATATGAACTATTAAATGATTATCAAGGTACATAAATATTAAAATAAATGTTTTAAAACTACAATATTGGAATGTTAGATTTTAATTAGCAAGAAAGACATAAAAAATAAAAGGTAGTTTTGTTAAGAATTCCTAAAATTACTTCACATTGATACTTGCCTTCACTTAGATTATAAAAACTAGTGAAGGTAAGTATCAACATGAAGTAGTCTAGGAATTTTTTAAAAAAAATTATCTTTTGTTTTTTATTATCTTTCCTGCCAATTAAAATTTAACATTCCAATATTGTAGATTTAAAATATTTATTTTAATATCTATGTGCCTCAGTTATCATTGAATAGTTCATATAACATGAAAAAAATGCCATTTTCATCTCAAATTCAATTAATAACCTATTAAAGTGCAAAGAAAAAAAGGATTAGCTTAGTTTGCAAAAAGAAATATATGACATATTATTAGCATGAATAAGTTCAACAAAAAAAATATAGAAGAAAAAATGTTTCATTAGAATACGTATGATCCATTTAATACGTCTATTTCATTCTAATTTGCATCTTAGTTTATGCTAAAACCCTCAATGTCACTATTTAAAATTTAGGGAAGTATAATGGTTCAAAATGAAAAAATTGAGGACCAAAAGTGCAAAGTCAAAGTTGAAAAGAAATTAGATTTAAAGATGGTAAGTTATTATTTTATTGGATATTCTGAAAGATCCATGAGTTATAAATTTTATGATCTCATGACTACATTGATTTTTGAGAAGAAAAATGTTCGATTCTTTGAAGATATCGAGTTTATGGGAAGATATACAGTTAGAGATCTTGTCTTTGAAATTTGAATTATCTCAAGTTTAAAGCATTTATCAAGTAATAGAAATTAGGAAACACAAATATTCGTACTTAAGGGAGCACTTTTAAGATTGGTTACTTATTCACCCGTTTGGTAGCATGCTAAGAGAATATTTTCTGAAATGTTTGATGCTTTTGTTTTGTAGAATTTAGTTCACTTTTGGCCACATTGAGTTTTCTAATTGCTCTCAACTAGGTTTATCATGCTACTGGAAACTTGCTTTTGACGTTGGTTGATTTTCATAATTGTTAGTTAGAAATACTAAAGTTGTCTGCTATTATCCAACTATATATAGGTAAAAAAGAAACATTTTGATAATTGTTAGCTCAAAAATTAAACAAAGACTACATATAAAAATAGATAGGTACAAACAATTCATTGGGCTTGTTTGGATTGTGAATTATTTGAGATATTTTTACTGTAGCACTTTTTGTGATGTGATGTATGTGAAATAAAAAGATAATTGAAAAGATAAAAAAGTACGTTGGAAATTGTAATGATGATGTAAGCAGATATAATTTGATAAATAATTCACAATCCAAACAAAGCCATTATATTTTTCCAAAATTATGATTGCAATTGAAAGCTTTTTTGGGGGGGGGGGGGGGGGCACTGGCAACCTCAACCAGCACATATGTATATATATCATTTATTAATGGAGAGCAATACCAGGGTAGTCATCAGGTATGTCCTGTCTAATGTAGAGATTCGCCCTAAAAGTAATATAATCTCCTATTACGCTGACCGGCTCCAAGGTAGCATACCCTGTTGCACACCGGAATTGTTTGGTTCCTCCTAAAATTGCAAGTTCATTGATGCCCATAGACTGTACGAAAATTCCTTTCATTTCCACAGTGCTACCACTGTACTTTCCATTAGTGAACAGAAAAGTTATCACAAGCTCTATGTTGGTGCTATCAAGGGATGCTACTGCAGCAATGCCTTGCGAACGACCCACTAGTGCGGATTTGAACGAAACGCTTTGGGTCAAGGTATTATCAACGACAAAAACAGTTCCAAATTGGTTAAAGCCCCAGGTTGCGTTGGGAAGACCTGCAACTGGGAAAACGCTCTGGCCATCTCCACTTCGAAATTCATGGTCGTACACCGTCAAATTTGTGAACACTGTCTTTGATTGTCCCAAGCTTGCTAGTAAAAGCAGGCTCAGAATTTGGAGGGATGCTATGGCTAAACTCTTTGCCATTGTTTTGCTACAGAAACAAAGGAGGAGGAGAAAGAAGGAAACAAATTGGGGCGGAGTGAAGTATAAAGACGATGAGGAGGACTATTTATACGACCACAGTTGACGGGAACGCAACGATTTCCTTTTTCCAAAAAAATCAAAAAAAGAGAAAAGGTATGTCTTTTTTTCCGGATTCCGGACACAGAAATAAACACACACGCTTAATTAGATTAAGCACGAAAGTTAATGGATAAATCAGCCCAATAAATAAGCAATTTAAAGGGGACTCACATAGCAATCCGATCCAGCCAATTGGTGACGGAGAAAAAGTATGTCACGTAACTGCTTTTTCAATCTCTATATTATTGTGTTGGATAGAACTCCACGAGCCTAAAATTGTACGGTGTGTAAAGTCATAAAAAAAAATTAATATCTGCACATGATATGAAGTTTACAGAGGAAGATGGTTTTTTTTTTTTTTTTTTTTGGAAGGAAGGAAGATGAGGTTATGGGGTGTCAAATATCTTCATTAAAAACTTCGTACGCAACTACCAATAAGGCCTTGGTTTAATTTTATAACAATCAAGGTTGAACTCCAAAAATTAGACGTCTTGTTTCATCTCAGGGAGGTTTCTGAAATTATCCCTTCTGGAAAATGACTTGCGTCTATTTGATCGTCTTGTGGGGTAGTTGAGAAAGTTTGTACGTTATGGCTGTGTTAGTATTCAGCATCGTCCATTTTTGACTAGTTTTGGCATCAATCTTCGGTACATGTGTCCTTCCACAAAAAAAAAAAAATTCTTCAGTACTCGGGTGCATCAGAAAAACCTTAAGTCTTAGCTTTTGACACTTGGCTTCTCAACTGGTAAACGAAATGGACAAATTTTTTTCAGGCAACAAAATGGACAACTTTGTCAAACTGAACAAGACAAATATGTTTGGATCAAATAGATTGTTATATCCTGGCAATTTTACAATTAATTTCTCACCAGATAAAGAAAATGAGGAAGCATATTTAAGTTCACACCAGGAAACACAAACAATGGAGAGAAATTAATTTCTGGTATGCGTATTTAATCTCTAGTAGGTGACTTTTCCAATCAAACCAATCCAAACAAAGACCAAGTTATAGGGACAAAGACGAGTTTTAAGTTTCAACAATGATAAGTCTCGTGCATAGACGCACACATCAGACGCGTACCAAACACACAAACAGTGGCGTGCAAAAGATTCCTGTAGTTCAATTTGTTTATTTGGTTAATTGCAATTTGGGGATAAAGTATTCCTGGCGTACAAAAGATTTTCCGCGTACAAAATATTAAATTATAGGCACCCTTTTTCATTTTGATTCCTTCACCATCATCCTTCTCGATGATCAATGGACTTCTCCTGTTGCCTATGGAGACGTTGAAATGCTGTGAACTTCTATGCAATCCGGGGAGGATTTTTGATGGCTACAGGCAACCGCTCTGACAGAAAACAATTGCTGACTCAACAATTTCTATCTACTAGGTGGCTTTGCCCTGCTCTTCGTGCAAGGCTGCCCGTGGTTTGGGGACAGTGGTTTTTTTTTTTTTTTTTGGATATGTGTTTTTTGGTAATAGAAAAAATGTGTTTTATCAAATATTTATTAATGGAAAATATTTATTATGCAATTGTCCGCTACAGTATGCTTGTTAATAGAAATTACTGAGGAAAAAAGCACACGAAGGAGAAATAAAATAGAGGGAAAAAATGAAAAACTAAAGATGATGATATAGTATAAAAGAGATATTATCATTGTTATAAGAAATAGATAAATAATGGATAAAATAGTAGTGATGAATATGTGTGGAGAACATTAAAAATGAAGGGATCTTTTAAATTTTTTCATAAAATATGAAATATAGAGAAATCTAAATACAAAGGGGTTTGGAGTGGAATTGGTCATAAATATTTGACTAAATTTAAATAAGAGAAGGAAAAAAAATCTGAAATGCAAATAAATGTGGAGTAAAATATATAAATATTTTTTTAAATCATGCAATCTGCATTCAACTGGAGTTAGTATATCCAATTATAAATGATTTAATTTTTTTTTGAGGAATTGAGAGGTATAATTAACACTAAATTGTTTAACTAAATCAAAGGAAAAAAGGAAAATTTTTTAAATTTAGAGAAATTTGGAGTAAAATCTATGAGATGATTTTTTTTAATCAAGTCATGTTTATTCAATTGGAGTTCAACATATCTAATAGAAAATATATTATTAGTATTATTATACTGTTGAAATTAAGTAATAAACAAATAATGTACAGAAACAATAATAGTAGATTTGTCTAGAAAGTATTGAATAAGTGTCTAATCAACCACTGGCAACACTTTTGCTGTGGTATAGAATGAAGAGGAAGAGGTGGAGGTGGGGAGGAAAGTGATGGCTAAAGTGACGAGGGGGCATTCCTTGTCACTAGAGGGACATGGAGGCAGTAGAATAGTAGCTACAGTGAGGAGGAAATCAGCAGAACACTTGAGAACCATGGCTACAACATCTATTCAGGAACTTGAGGATTTTCATGGGAAGCTAGAGTATCGGCTTCGAAGGGCCTTGCTGCTGGATTCTTCTTGTCCATCATCTGCATTGATAGACTCTAAGGACAGCATACTCTTAAATAATCTAGATAAGAAGATCGGGCATCCTCATAGTTATCAGAAGAAGTGGTTGGCATTTCATTCTCAAACTAAGTCTCTTTGCTCTGTTAATGATAAGTCCGTATAATTCTTGATCTAGAATATTCATTGTGTTTCACGTCATGATACACCGCGATATTTACGACACTTATTTTCTCAAAACCATATTCGCTTGCTGGTCTTGATTAAATCCATGTCTAATGTGGATTTGATTGATGCCATTCATACCATGCTTCACTTTTATAGCTGTCGGTCTTGTATTGAAGGGAAAATATGGATTTTCTGGTGTGATGAGTTTAATATTTTTTTTCAAGAATTGGTAGACCAAATGGTGTCCATGTCGGTCTTGCCTTCGTTGGGATATTTCTTTTGCTTTTCTGCTATATATGCAAGATGTACTCAAGTGAGGAGGAGGAGTTTATGGATGGCTATGGAAGAGGTTGCTGCTCAAATCTCATCCCTATGGATTGTAGCAAGTGATTTTAACGTAATATCCAAGGCAAAAGAAAGGTCTGGGTGGCTTATACTTGGACTAATGGGATAATGTGGCAATGGTTGGATCGAATACTAGCAAATGCGGAGTGGATGGATTTTTCTGAAGTTACAAAAGTTTCTCATTTGTCGTGTGGGCGTTCTGACCACGCGCCTTTGTTGATTAAATGTGGAACTGTTGTTAGATTTTGACGTATTTGGAAACCCTACATCTACTTCTTTATTGCTGAATGTATATATATAGGAAAAAAAATCATAACAGCCATGTTCACATGACCTCAAAGCATAACCCACTACATCATAACCGCTCCTAAACATATGCAACTGATTTCCTAAAAACAAGCAACAAACAAAACATTCCTAAAGACTTGTTCTGCAGACTAAGGCACATGTGCACATCTCCAACAAATCTCCTCCTTGCCTTAGTATTTGCAAACACCTAACTTGATTCTTAATTCTTCAAATCTTGCTTTTGGAAGGGCTTTAGTCAACAAATCTGCAATCTGTTCCTTTGTATTGCACTAAATCAGCTTGATTTCACCAGCTCTCTGCTCTTCTCTTAAGTGATACAGCTTGATATTAAAGTGCTTTGTTTTCCCATGGAAAACCGGATCCTTTGAGATTGCAATAGCAGCTTGATTATCTACAAAAATCTCTGTTGGCTCAATCTGATTCATGTGCAAGTCTACAAGTAATTTTCTAATCCAAATTGCTTGGTTCACCGTGGCATTAGCTGCAATAAATTCTGCCTTTGCTGTACTTTGAGCGACCACATCTTGCTTTTTTGAACTCCATGAGAAAACACATGAACCAAAGCTAAAACAAAAACCAGTTGTGCTTCTCATGTCCTTAGTAGTACCTGCCCAATCACTGTCAGAAAAACCTTGGAGCCGGAAATCATGACAGCAAGAATACTTAATGTCATAATCTGTTGTACCTTGGACATATCTTAAAATACGTTTAGCAGCTGCAAAATGCACTTCACTGGCACAATTCATAAACCTTGACATTAAACTTACTGCAAACATTATATCCGGTCTTGTAGCTGTGAGATACATCAAACAGCCGATCAGACTCCTATATAGCACTTCATTAAATTTTTCTGCTCCATCTTCATTGCTAAACTTCTCCTTTTGATTCATTGGCGTGCTGATCCCTTTGCAGTCTTCCATATGAAATTTCTTAAGAATTTCCTTTGCGAACTTCTTTTGACATATGAATACTCCATCATGACCTTGTTTTACCTCCATTCCTAAGAAGTAGGTCAATAAATTGAGATCTGTCATCTCAAAAGCTTTTGAACATCTCAGTTTTAAATTCATTCACTAACTTCTCATTACTTCATGTAACAAGTAGATCATCAACATAAATAGATACTATAATTAAGTTAGCATTTGAAGATATAAAGTGGCTTCACTTGGACTATAATTAATTCTTCACATATAAAGTGGCTTCACTTGGACTTTTAACAAATCCAAGACTTTGAAGATAATTGTCAATTCTGCTATACCAGACCCTGGGAGCTTGCTTAAGGCCATATAAAGCCTTCCTTAATCTGTAAACTTTCTTCTCCTGTCCTTTAACATGAAATCCCTCTGTTTGTTCAACATAGATTTCTTCTTGAAGATAACCATTTAAAAAGGCTGACTTTACATCCAACTGGTAAAGCTTCCAACCTTTTTGTGCAGCCAAGGCCAACAACATCCTGATAGTGTCTAAGTGTGCAACAGGAGCGAAGGTTTCTGAAAAATCTACCCCAAAAACTTGACTATACCCCTTCACAACTAATCTGGCTTTATGTTTGCTCACAGTACCATCAGCATTGAATTTGCATCTGTAAACCCATTTCACTCCAATGATCATTCTGTTTTGAGGTTTGTCTACCAACTCTCAAGTGCCATTCTTCTCGATCATACGCAGCTCCTCTCTCATGGCATCAATCCATTTGTCATCTTTTTCTGCTTCCTGAAATTCTGCAGGTTCAAAAACCGCAACATTGCTTCTTTCATAGATATCAGATAGAGATCTTGTGCCACGAATTGGGACATTATCTATATTGTCATCAAGATGATGTGAATATACTGACACCTGCTTTTCTAATGATTCCTCCCAACTCCATTGTTTATCTTCCATAAATTTGACGTCTCAACTTACAATAATTCTCCCATTTTGTGGTTGGAAAATTCTGTAAGCTTTGGAAGTGCTGCTATAGCCAACAAAAATACCTGCTTCTGCCTTCTTATCAAGTTTGTCTCGTTTCACCTGTGACACATAAGAAAAAGAGAGACAACCAAAAATTTTCAGACTTTGTAAATCTGGTTTGTAACCGAACCAGGCCTCAAACGGTGTTTTTCCTTGTACAGCTCTAGTTGGTAGCCTGTTTAACAGGAAAACTGCTATACTTGCAGCTTCTGCCCAAAATTTCTTTGGTAACTCCTTTTCATATAGCATACACCTCGCCATCTCCATGATGCTTCGATTTTTTCTCTCACTCACACCGTTCTGTTGTGAAGTGTAAGGTGCTGTAAGTTGGTGTTCAACCTGTTTCCTCACAAAACTTGTCAAAGACTTTATTTTTGTACTCTTTCCCATTGTCCGACCTTATTATGCGCAACCTGCAATTACTTTGATTCTCCACAAAAGTTTTAAACTTCCAAAATATATTAGGAACCTCAGCTTTGGATTTGAGAAAATAAATCCAGCAAAATCTGGTATAATCGTCTATAAAGACAATATAGTATTTACTACCATTCAAAGATGGAGTTGCCTGAGGTCATCCAACATCAGTATGCACAAGTTGCAGCTTGTGTGATGCTCTCCAGGCTGATTGAGAAAATGGTTTTCTTACTTGCTTTCCATATTGACAAGCCACACAATCAGCTAGTTTATCCTCCAACAACGCTACAACCTTACAAAGTTATTTTTTTGCATAAATAGGAGTCCAGCATGATGGAAATGCCCAAGTCTTTTGTGCCAGAATTCTGCATTACTTACATGACTTGCAAGTGCTACGTGCTCATCCTCCATCAAATTTAAGGCGAAACTCTTAGCTCTCATCTTCACTTTAAACACATTTTTGCCCCCTTGCATCCTTGATCAAGTACCACTTGTCTTCAAAAATAACTTTGAAACCTTTTTCAACAAGCTGTCCAACACTAAGCAAGTTTTGATCAATGTCAGGCACATATAAAACATTGGTGATGTGCTTTAAACCTGTCAAGCTTTCAATAGCAACTGTCCCTTTCCCCTTGACTGAGATGAACTCACCATTTCCAATTTTTACTTTGAAAATGAGAGTCTTATCAATCTCTGTAAAAAGAGCTTGATCATTGGTCATGTGGTTGGTGCAGCCACTATCTATCAACCGGGAATCACTTGAGCTGTTGTTAGTGGCAAAGCACGTAGCCACGAAGAGTTGTTCTTCCTCTTGTTGTTTTGTGGACACTCCTGCTGTTTCAAGCTGTTGCGATTTGCAGACCCTCTCCATGTGCTCCATATTGCCACACTTTCTGCATTTGATATCAGGCCTCCACCAGCACCTTTTTGGCATATGGTTCGATTTCTTGCAATATGGGCAAGGTGAACTTGCATCAATTTTGTTGGCATTGTTGGACTTGCTGCTCTTTTTTTTCTCCGTAATTTTCTTGTCTTTGCCTCCTCTAGAACTTTCTGATCTGGCTTTGAATGCACCCTCTACAATTTCTTCTTTCCTTATCATTCTTCTTTGCTCCAGAGCCTGCAAAGCATTCACCAACTCCGCCAAGGATATGCTTGACAGATCTTTAGACTCTTCTAAAGAAGAAATTTTAGACTCATATTTCTCCGGTAAAGTGACAAGAATGTTTTGGATGATTCTCTCATCAGAAAAGTCCTTAGCTAGCAGTTTTACCTTGTTAACAATGCCCAGTAGCTTATCGGAGTAGTCTTTGATCGTTTCTGACTCCTTCATCTTCACCATCTCGAACTCTCTGATTAAGTTGAGCACTTGCATGTTCTTGGTTCTTTCATTGCCCTGGTACTCCTTCTTGAGGTAGTCCCATATGTCTTTGGCTGATTCTAAGTTCATGATCCTGGTAAATATGGTGCTTGAAACGGCAGAGAAAAGACATGCTTTAGCCTTTGACTTCCTTGTTTTTCTCTCATTATGATTCTTCATTTGTGTCACCGTGGGATTTGCTGGCAGCGGTGGTACATCATAATCTTCTTCTACAGCTTCCCAAAGATCCAATGCCTCAAGGTGGACTGTCATCCTAACAGCCCATGCTTGATAATTTTGGCCATCAAAGACTGGTGGATCAAAATGATTGAAGTATGATTGAGTATCAGCCTCTATTCTGAAAGTTTTTGTTTGTATCACTCGATCTTACAGGTCCCTCAAGATGAAAACTCTGATGCCAATTTGTTGTTAGATTTTGATGTATTTGGGAAGTCTACATCTACTTCTTTATTGCTGAATGTATATATAGGAAAAAAAATTATAACAACCATGTTCACATGACCTCAAAGCATAACCCACTACATCATAACCGCTCCTAAACATATGCAACTGATTTCCTAAAAACAAGCAACAAACAAAACATTCCTAAAGACTTGTTCTGCAGACTAAGGCACATGTGCACATCTGCAACAGGAACTATGAATTCTAGGAGGCCCTCTTTTCGATTTTTGAATATTTGGAGGAAGCATCCTAATTTTTTGGTAGTAGTTAATAACGCATGGGATTGACCAATTAAGGGAGTTTAGATGGTTAAATTTTTTAGGAACCTAAAGGCCACGAAGGCAAGGTTACGAGATTGGAACATGATTGTATTTGAAAATATTTTTAAACATGTAAAGGATGCTGAACTACTGCTAAAGCAAAGGGAACTGGAATTTGATGATGGTTGTGATGAGCCGTCGAAGGTGAGGTTGAGTGAAGCAAAGGCTCTTCTTTCTAGAGAACTAGCTTTACAATGTGAATGTTGGCTGCAAAAATCAACAATTAAGTGGCTACAGGTGGGCGGGTGATGTCAACACAAAGTATTTTCACACGGTGGTACTGGTAAAGCAAGGAAAGAACTCAAATTTCATAACTCGAAACAAGGAGAGGGACAGCCAGTGGATCCACGACCTTGATCAGATAAAATCATCAGCCACAATGTTTTTCTCTGCATTATTTACATTAGAAAGGGAAAGGAGAGCAGAGCCCCAACTATTTTTTGACCTATAGCAACTAGATGCTGTAGCCGATGAGGAGTTTCACAAGTTTTCCTCACTAGAGGAAGCAAGGGAGGTGATATTTTCTATAAGTTGTGACAGTGCACCGGGTCCTAATGGCTTTGGTGCAAGATTCTATTTGGAGGCTTGGGAGGTAATTTCAAATGATTTATTGGAAGCTGTTCATGATTATTTTAGAGATGCACAGCAACCTAAAGGCTTCACTAGTACACTTATTATATTGATTCCAAAGGTGCCTGGATGTCTTGTTGGCAAGAATTTAGACCATTAGCTTGTGTAACGTCTCTTCCAAAATTATTTTAAAGGTTTTAGTGAACCATGTTAATGAATTGCTCCCCAAGTTACTCTTCCCATGATAGATAAGTTTTGTGCCAGGGCATAGTATAACTGATAATATCTTGATCGCTCAGAAATTGACATTGGATTTGGATAAGAGGCTCCGGGATCCCAACTTGATGTTGAAAATTGACATGGAGAAGGGTTATGACAGAGTAGAATGGGCTTTCTTAATTTTTATGTTGCATTGATTTGGACTTCATGAGTAGAACATGGACTTACTTTTTCATACTTTAGCAAATACTTGGTTTTATGTGCTTGTTAACAGAGAACCTACAGATTTTTTTAAATCTAGTAGAGGGGCACACCAAGTCAATCCACTCCCCGACATTATTTTTGTTGGTTGCTGAATATTTCGGTCGAGGCATACAACAGATTTTTTCTCAAAATGCGAGGAGATATTTTGCTTCATTTTGGACATGAGTGCCTTATTTGGCTTTTGTTAATGACATGCTGGTTTTTGTGCGATGTTCTGAGGACTACTTGGAGGCTCTTAAGGAATTTTTCCAATAGTATTAGGCTTATTCTGGAAAAAGGTGAATGCATTGAAGAGTTCCTTCATTATTTCTAACAGAGCCATGGACAAACAAGTAGAGTTGGTGACGTCCATATTAGGTTTTTAGTAGCAATCCCTTCTGTTGAGTTATTTGGGAGTGCCTATTTCGAAAGAAAGGAATATGATCTATTTGTTTAATAGTCTTAATGCTGAAATGAGATCTCGGGTGCAACATTGGAGTTCTAAACTTTTATCGACCGGAGGGAGGGAAATTATTCTGCTACATCATGTTCTTTCTTCTATGCCTATGTATTTATTACAAGTCCTTCAACCTCCAAAAGTAGTATTGCTTAAACTAGGATGGTTGTGTAATATCATTTTTTGGTATAAAAGGAAAATTTGTCAAATTGGTCCCTAACATTTACCAAAAACACTTTTTTTGTCCTTAACATATAAAATTAGCCAAAATTGTCCCTAACATTTAAATTGTGATCCAATTTGGTCCTAATGCTCATTTTTGCTCATTTCTTCGGCTAAAAATAGCACGCCTGTCTCACGTGGTCATATTTTTAGGGGTAAAATCGAAAAATAACATTTCATTATCGATTGAAAGTAAAAGGATAGGGGGCCAATTTCCCCTTTTCACTAACCCATTGAAATTGAAGAAGGAAAACACAGTAGCAAGAAATTGGGAAGAAGAAGCTAACCTTTGAAGAGTAAAATGGATCTAAACGAGCGATGTCTTTGTGGAAAGGAGCCTATCATTGTGACTTCTTGGAAACCTGCAAATCCGGGGAGAAGATTATAGGGTTGTCCAAATTATGGAGTAAGCTTTCTTGAAATTTTAGGTTAGTTTGGGTTTGGGATGTAGGGTTAAAATTTGGTCTTGAAATCTGATGTTCTTCGTGCATTTTAGATAACGAGTACTTGTGGCTATTTCAAATGGTATGACCCGCTAATGTGTAGTAGATCTGTGTCAATAATACCTGGTCTATTAAAAACAATCAACCGCCTACAAGCTGATCAAGAATAGAGAATTCGAAGAGAGTAATTGCTTTGGACTACTTTGGTTGCCTCTTGGATATGCACTTTGTTGCTGTTAATAAGCTGGAATTAAACAAAAATTGGAAGATAGTTATTGGTAGGTCTAACATATTGTTTTAATTGTGTCTAACTTTATCGGAAGCTGTGAATCTGAAAGTATGTATCAGTATCCAAAATACAAGGAGGCTTTTTGTACCTGCTGCACTTTTGTGTCTGGTTATGTAATAGTAACTGTTGCACTTTTGTTAATTATTGTGTAATAGGAAAGGCTCATGTTTGTGCCATTTACAATTATGAATGCAAAGTTGCTTTTTGGTCAATTGATTGTCGGAAAGAAAAATTTGCTAATGTAAAAGAAAGCTGATGAATGGCCATGTCTCTTAACATTGAATTTGAAGACAAAAAGCTGCAAAATTTTGTAGTAAATATTTGAAGTATCCAAGACAGCAAAACAGCAAATGTTTGAAGCATCCAAGATGCTCTTTACAGCAATGCCAAAAACTAATAGCAAAACATTTACAGCAAAAACTAACAGCCAAGATGCTCTTTACAACAGTGCAAAAGTCTTGGCTTAAGTCGTAATACATGATCTATAATATCCCAAAAGCAAAATACAACATAAAAGTTGTAGCTAAAGCCATCAAAAGATATTTAAACAAGCCACCAGCACTTCAATTTTCCTTTTGCTTTCCACTGATATTCGAAGATTCACGTGCCTACCATCGAGAAAGCTTTGCAATAGTGGAAGTGCACCTGCCTTTGGTGTGACCATATTGGTGGCAGATAGAGCACTTATACTTCCCAATATTCTCCACCTTGACAATTTTAACGAAGGCTTGTTAGACAACATAAAGGTAAAATATGAGTATTTGTATCGCAAAAGATGTTTATGATACTCACTGGAATACTTGTAGCAACAGAATAGTTTGATGTAGATTGTTGACTTCCCAATGGTACATCTGCCATGAGATCCTCAGACATCTGAGTATTTGACTTGGGAACTGAAGGTGTAGGTCTAACAAATCCATGTGAATCAGTCTCAGCAGAGGCATTTTGTGTCTGGCTTGGACACTTCCTACTATTGTGACTAGTCTTGTTATATTTTCGACACTTATACACCATCTGCCCATTCTAGACGACTTTTGTTGCTGCTTATTTTGCTTTTTACCTGATGCTGGTTCATCTGACTCCTTTCATCTAGCCTTTCGTGGTCTACCAGGAAGTTTTATGTTCTCAGGAGCGGGCGGCATGTCAGAATTTTTTCACATTTGCTCAGCATTTATTGGGCTTATCATGGGTTCATATGCCCTCATGTAATCTTTTTTGGAGTAGCAATCATGTACAAACTTTTCGGGTTCCTCTCCAGTGTCACAAATTGTAGCAATGGCATGTGCACAAGGAATGTCATTAAGGTCCCACTTTCTACAATTACAACATCTACTAATAAGGTCCACAGTATACCTATCACCATACATGCACCTAATTTCAAATTTTCAGTCCTTGAAATGGCTAGGAATGCAGTCATTTGTAGCAAGCTTATTTTTCTCCAACTTTTTTAGAATTTTAGGACATATCTCCGCAGTGTATTTCTTTATCCATTCTCTCTTTTTTTCCATCCTAACCATTAAGTAAAATCTAATGATTTCCAACATGTCAAGAATTGGTTTCTGCCTAGCATCAAGGATTGTGGAGTTAAAACTTTCACACAGATTATTTAACAAAATATCACATTTCACACTTGTTCTAAAATGTGATCTTGTCCACTCCTTTGGATAAGTATGGTTTACCAACCAATTGTACGCACCTTCATCAAACTCTTTTAGTGACTCCATCAATCCAGCAAATCTGTCCCTATAAGAAGCTCGTGTTGTAACCCATATCCTTTCTTTAAGAGCTAGGCCTAGATGTTGTTTTTGAAATTATTATACATGTGCCGCGCACACATGCGATGCTCAATCCCTGGCAGTACCTCTTGAATAGCTTGACTAGCCCCTGTATAAATGAAATAAAAAATCAAACCTATATTACTGTTACTAAGTATTATCATAACAACAAGGTTAATAAAGTTAGTTATATATTACCTTTTGCTTGTCGGTTATAAATGTCCAATTGCTTTCATCAATAATTTCAAGGTCACCCTTTAGCTCTTCTACAAACCATTTCCAAGAGTTCTTATTTTCAGTTTCGACTACAGCATACACTATCGAAAATAGTTGATCATTTGGGTCAATACCAACGGCTCTGAGAAGAACTCCCTTATGACAGCCTCTTAAGTGACATCCATCAAGACCTACAACATATCTACAACCCTGCAGAAACCCTCTTTTACAACCATCTAGACACACATAGAATCTCTGAAACTCATCATCACCCTTATTATTCTCAGTTGTAGTCATAAACAGATTAGAGTCAGGATTTGACTTTTGAAGTTCTTCACAGTAGCTCCAAAGTTTGCTGTACTGGGACATGACATCACCATGTATCATCTCTTTAGCTTTTGCCCTTACCTTATACCCCACGTTAGGTGTGATACTAATTCCCAAGTCCTTGTGGACCTTTATCATAAAATCACCTACATTAAAATTTGGGTTCAGTCTAATATCCTCCAAATACTTATTGGCCAAATATGTCACACTTGCTAGGCCATGATAGGTTGTCCTACCACAGGTGTGAGTCAACAGCATGCTTTTGATTTGGAATGTCATTTTATCACTCCTAATTGAGCAATATATGTTCCACATACGTCTCTTGCCTCTGCATATGGCTTTGCATCTGTTTGAATCATTTTTCTTAAACCTGATTTTCCTTCCATACTTCACTCCATGTGATTTTGCAGCATTAATAAAGTCAGTTTTACACTTGAATAACAACCAAAGTTCAAACTTTGGGTCATCCATCTCTGTTGCAGGAATGAATACCCTACACTTTTTCTTGTCCACATCCTTACTCTCTCCTTCATCTCCAGAACTCTCATTGCTGTGCAGCCCATCATGTGATGAATTATCTGACTCCTCCATGCTGCACTCAGTATTTTCTTCATTAACAGCAACTTCCTGTACCTTTTCTTTACCCCTTTTTGTTGTATTGAACTATTTAGCAACATTAGCCCAATCTGCAGGTATTTCACTAATAGATTTTATTAGCTCTTCTTCATCACTTATAGCATATTCGGTATCATACAGACTCTGAGGATCACTTGAGACAATATCCTCTATGATCTGCTCCTTATTTTTTTTAATGACTTTTTAGCTTCAGCCTTTCTATTGGATGTCTTTCTTGACTTAGTTGCTGCTCTTCTTTCTTGTCTACCTTTGCGATGTCTTTCATTTCCATTACCATCAATATCTACAGCTTCAGCAGTCTCATATTCAGCAACATTAAAACTTTCATGTTCAGTAGCATGAGTTTCTGTAGCTCCTCCAGTCTCATGTTCAGCATGCTTACTTTTGCCAAGTCCTTGAGATGCACTTTGGCATGATCCACTCCTGCCACTAACACCACTTTCAGCAGCAACATCTTGATGGCCAACATCTTTTCTCCTCTACTGCATTTTTAATCTTTTTGCAGGTGAAGTTCTCTTCTTCGCAATCTGTTTCATTCTCTTACCAGTACGTGAAGGAATTCCTCCATCCATGTTAGCTTCTTGAAAACCACCATCAGTAGCAAAATTAGGTGTGGCCACATGTACAGAATCTTCTTGAACATTCTCTGGTGTGGCCACATGTACAGATTCTTCGCCAAAATGCTCTGGTGTGCCAACATGTACAAAGTCTTCATTATTCCTATTACTATCATTCCTTCTTTCTTTTTCATCACCAGCAAAATGAGGCAGATTATATATTTTTCGATGAATGAAGAACACATCAGCTAACCCATACATCATCCCTAATTTAGCCAATTCAGCAGAATCATCCTCCTGCAACATATTCACTAATCCATCTGCCATATTCCTACCAGGAATCAGGTAGTAGTAACCCACTGTATAATGCTCAAATCCAAGTTTGTTAGCTACTTCATCCAACTTACACAGAGCCCATTTTTCTGGATCATAACCATCAACAATGTCAACCGAACCCCCTATATAGTCTCTATTTCCTGTATCTCTAAGTTCACCTCCAAAGTGTAAACGAATAGAAAAACGCATCTCATTGGCCCCTGGCAGCCATTAAAACGACAATTACTTTGGGACCATGACAGAAGGGTGGAGCCTTTCATAATAAAAATTGGGGACCACAGCAAAACTAAGTAAAATAATGAGCAATCTTCAATTAATTAAAGTAAAATACAGTCCTAAGCAAGATTCGTCAACAATTTTTAACCACATTGGTAAAAAAAACTACTTACCGTAGTCCATTGTGAAGTTCCATTTTCTCGATTCGTTCTGCATCTTTTCGAGGATTTTCTTCAAGATTTTCTGGCCAAACCTTCGATCATTTCTCAATCACACCCTACAGCTTTGTCGTCGTCATCATCGTCACTAACATTGCCAAGTTATGCTTGTTAATTAAGGGATGCAATTTAGGGTTTCTTGAAACTGTAATTTGAGGGAGAAAGGTATGAAAAGGGGAAATTGGTCCCCTATCCTTTTACTTTCAACCGATAGTGAAATGTTATTTTTCGATTTTGCCCCTAAAAATATGATCACGTGAGACAGGCGTGCTATTTTTAGTCAGAAAAATGAGCAAAAATGAGCATTAGGACCAAATTGGATCACAATTTAAATGTTAGGGACAATTTTGGCTGATTTTATATGTTAAGGACTAACAGAGTGTTTTTGGTAAATGTTAGGGACCAATTTGGCAAATTTTTTCGGTATAAAAATATAGCTTCTCACTGTATACACTGGTTGGCATGGGATAAGCCTTGCTACCCTATTCAAGAAGGAGGTTTGGGGTTTCGCGGGTTTGATGATATGTATAAGTTATTCGCTTGCAATTTGTGATGGACGCTTCGTCTTAATAATTCGATTTGGGCAACTTTCATATATGCAAAATATGTGTGAGATGTTCATCCACGAGGGCTTTATGCTCTCTCTCTTCGTTAACATGGTGATGACTGCTAGCTGTTAGGGAAACAGCGAGCCAGATTCGGTGTCCATAGGATAGGGTTTTGTTGATGTTCCATTGGTGGATTTGTTGCACAAGGTGGAGCCTCCGCATATGCTTCTTGCTGAGTTTTATTCAGGGCAAGATTGGAATTTACAAAAGTTGGGTGAGTGGGTTCCCGAAAACATTGCAAAGGAGATCTATCAATTTCATTTGTATCTAGCAGAGAAGGATCGCTTGGTGTGGCTGCTTTCTGCCTTAGGAGACTTTACACTAAAGACAGCTTGGGAGTTGGTCCAACAAAGAAGAAATGTCTCAAAGGTAGATTATATGTGTTGGACTTCACTCCTGATTAAAGTGTCATTTTTAGCTTGGAGAGTCTTGCGTAGTGCGGTGCCACTAGACCTTGCCCTTCATCACTGGGAAGTGGTATTAGCATCAAGTTATCAATGCTGTAGGGTGGAGGAGGAGTCCATAGATCATGTCTTCCTACACAGGCTTGTGGCGAGATGGTATGGAATCATTTCACTAGGAAGTTCGGCATTCTTGATGTTATAAGTTCGTCCATGTCAACCATGCTTACTTCCTAGCTTCATTCTTCACTTGGGGCTTCGATAACTCATGTTCGCAGCATTGTACCTGTGGTTATTATTTGGTGTTTATGAAAAGCAAGGAATCAAGCTCGATTTCAGGGAGGTCTTGTTACTGCTTAGGTTGATGAATTTTTGCATCAACTTGGAAAAGCTAAGGGTTCCAAGTTAACTCATTTTCATGGTGACCTGGACTGTGACTGGTCTAGGTACATTCGACAAGTATCTATTACTCGGAGAGTGTTTTCAATTTGGTGGATGAAGCCATTATTTCCTAAAATGAAGCTTAACACAGATGCTAGTAAAGTTAATCAACAAGCTTCAGGTGGTAGACTTCTCCGGGATCATAGTAGGTCTCTCTTTTTTGCATTTTACAAAGAGTTTGGGAATGTAGACGTCTTGATGGCCGAAGCGTTAGCACTGCTTCATGGACTACATATCTGTTATGAACAAGGGCTCGCTCCTCTAGTGCTAGAGGTGGACTCAG